AGAGCCCCAAAATAAGCCCATACATCTATGATCAATTCATTTTTGACAAGGTACCAAGACCATTCAGTGAGCAAAAAATAGTCTTTTCAACAAATAGTGCTGGGACAACTGGATATCCACACGCAAAAGAACAAATTTGGGAGCCAGGCACAGTAGTGCACACCTTTGGTCCCAGCTACTCAGGAGGCTGAGGAAGGAGGATCACTTGAGCTCAGGAGTTCAAGTCCAGCCTGGGCAACAGCAAGACCATATCTCTTAAAAAAAAAAAAATGAATGAATTTGTGTTGCTCCATAGATTGCTATATTAGGGACAGAACTGATTTCAGGAGTTTTGCAGGAACTGTCCCTTGGGCTAACTGTTTTTAGCTGCAGGTGTCTGTGTGTGTGGGGGGGTACTCTTTGAATCAGTTTCATCCTGTGGCTCCCTGCAAACCTGCTTTGTCATTCAAAGCAGCCGAAAACCACAGGTTAGAGACTGAAGGGTCATCTAGGAAAGCAGCAGCCACAGACCTTTGAGATGCCCTCCAGAGGCCTGGAAGCTTTTGATATGCGAACTAACATGTTCACATACTCCTTCAGGGCAAAGCCCTGCAAAACTCCTGAAATCATTTGTCTCTAACATAGCAATCCATAGAGCAACAAATTTGGACTCCTATCTTACACCATATTTGTACAAAAAGCAAGTCAAAATAAATCAAAGACTTAAAAGTAAGAACTAAAACTCTAAAACTCTGAAGAGGAAACAAGTGAAAATCTTCATGATCTTGGATTAGGCAATGGTTTTTAAAATGTGATGTTATAAACACAGCAAAGAAAAACCAGATAAACTGAACTTCATTCATCAAAATTAAAAACTTTTGTGTGTCAAAGAACACTATCAAGTGAAAAGACAACTAACAGAATGCAAAAACATTTTTGCAAATCATCTTTCTGATAAGGGTCTAGTGGCCAGAATACAGAAAGAACTCTTACAACTAAACAATAAAAAGACAAATACAATTTTAAGAGACAAAGGATTTGAATAGATGTTTCTTCAAAGAAGACATACAAATGGCCAATCAGCATATAAAAAAGATGCTCAATACCATTAGTCATTAGCAAAAATGCAAATCAAACCACAATGAGATACTACTTTATATTCAGCAGGATGGCTATAACCAAAAAGACAGCCAATGCCAAGTGTGGACGAGGATGTGGAGAAATTTGAACTTTTATATATAGCTGGTGTAAATGTAAAATGGTGCAGCCACTCTGGAAAATATGTTGGCAGTTCCTCAAAAAATTAAACTAAGAGTTATCATATGACCCAGCAATTCCACTCCTAGGGAGATATCCAAGAGAATTAAAAATATAGTCCATATAAAAATTTGTACCTGAATGTTCATAGCAGTATTATTCATAAGAGCCCCAAAATGGAAACAACCCCAATGTTCAACAGCTAATAAATGGATAAACAAAATGTGGTACTCTATACCCACACGATGGAATATTATTTGGCCTAGAAAGGAACGAAGTAATGTTACATGCTACAACATGGATGAACCTTGAAAACATTACGCTAAGTGAAAGAAGCCAGACACAAAAGGCCATATATTATATATGAGTCCATTTATATGAAATATCCAGAAAGGCAAACCCACAGAGAAAGTAGATTAGTGGTTGCCAGGCGATAGGGGCAGGGAAGAATTGGGACTACGTGCTAATGGGTATGGGATTTCTTCTGGAGATGATAGAAATTTCCTGGAATTATATAGTGGTGATGGCTGCACAATACTGTAAGTATATTAATAATAACCACTGAAATGTACATTTTAAAATAATTAAAATGGTGAATTTTATCTCAATTTTTAAAAAAACTTAAAATTTTTTTATCTAAATCATATTTATAACTATATATAAAAAAGTTGAAATAATATAAAAATAAAAATAGAAGGGCTGTGAATTATTTTTTTCTCCTTAAAAACATCTCTTAATTTTCAGTGTAGCATTGTTTATAACAAAAAACTGAAACCAACCTAAATAGTTGTTATTAGGAAACTGATTAAATAAATTATGATCTAGTTATAAAAATAAGATATATTAGTTGAAAAAAAGCATGAGGCCAAACAGTAGATGAAGTATGATCCTGTTTGTGTGTTTTTAACAATACACAAACATAGTTATATCTGTATAAGCCCTTAAGAGTGGTAACCACTATAGAGTGGGACTTGGAAACTTTTCTTTTTAATTTGATGCCATTTTGTATTATTTGAAAACTGTTTGAGAAGCTCTGATTCAGGTGGGGCAAGGGCAATATACGTAACTTAAACATTTGTACCCCCATAATATGCTGAAATAAAAAAAAAAAAAGATCTTACATGCTGGACTAGGGAGTAGGAACTTCACCTTACAGGTTATGGGGCCAGTAAAGGATTTAAGTAACAGAATAGCATGAACAGATCTGATTTATACAGATGACTTTAGTGGCAGTGTGGAAGATGAATGGGACAAAGAAAAGTGTAGAGGCAAATAGGCAAATGAAAAGTTATTTGAATAGAGAAAAATAAAATGGTTAAAACTTGGACATATATGGCAGCAACAAAGTCATGAGGGAGAGAAAGGCATATATGCACACAGGGATAATTCACGAATTCAACAAATATATGTGGCAGTATAAAATATGGTCCTACATGAATACTTGTAGGATTCCACCCTCCTCTAACCTTCTATGTAGGGATCTTGAGTCTGTTTTGAGAGGAGAGAGTATGTGAGATAGCTCAACCACCATGCTGTGAAAAGTGATCAGCTTTTTAGAGGAAATGGATGAGTAAGAGGCTTTAAGTGCATTCTGCTACGTATCACACTCTGTAATCACCCTTTGGTGTTTGGGGAGAGATTACAATAAAGATTTACATTACTGGCTGGGCGTGGTGGCTCACGCCTGTAATCCTAGCACTCTGGGAGGCTGAGGTGGGCAGATCATTCAAGGTCAGGAGTTCAAAACCAGCCTGAGCAAGAGCGACACCCCATCTCTATTAAGAATAGAAAGAAATTAATTGGCCAACTAAAAATATATAGAAAAAAATTAGCCAGGTATGGTGGTGCATGCCTGTAGTCCCAGCTACTCAGGAGGCTGAGACAGCAGGATTGCTTGATCCCAGGAGTTTGAGGTTGCTGTGAGCTAGGCTGACGCCACAGCACTCTAGCCTGAGAAACAGAGTGAGACTCTGTCTCAAAAAAAAAAAAAAAAAAGAGAGAGAGATTTACATTACTTTTCATTTTTTTTCTTATTGATGCTATACTGGGCAAAGATGTACTTCAGATAGGAGCAGGTGCATCCAGGTTACTTTTACACTAATAGAATGAGTAGGATTTGGTGACTAATCATTTGTTGAAGGTGACAGGGAGGAATCCAAGATGACTGGACAGTGACATTGGAATTCTGGTGATGTTTATTGATAAAGAGACATGGTGTGTCAGGATCAGAGAAGTGGCAGCACAGTCCATTTGGAACATCAGGAGTTTGAGGAACTTGAGGGATGGTCAAGTGCAGAAGCCCAGCAGGTGATCACTGTTCTGTGACTGTTCAGGAGATGGCTCTGGGCTGGACATAGAGACTGAAGATTCACTGGCATTTTTGTGGTATTTATCACAGCTGAGTATATGTATATATGAATATATGGGCAAAAGAAAATGAGATCAAGAGCAAGACTGTGGGTGACATTTAAGGGATGGTCTAAGGAGCAACTATTAAAGAGGCTGAGTAGACACAGTCAGATGTGAGGGAGAAAACCCAGGACAGCAGGTGTCATAGAGGCCAGGGGAAGAAAGTGTTTCAGACAGAGGGATGGATCATCAGTGTCAAATGTCACAGAGAAGTAAAGATAGTTGAGGGTAAAGTGACTGGATTCAGCAATTAGAATGAGCTATGGTATGAATGTTTGTATTCCCCAAAATTTGTATGTTCAAATCCTAATCCCCAAGCTGATGGTACTATGAGATGGGGCAATGGGGAGATGATTAGGTCATGAGGCTGGAGCCCTCATAAATGGGATTAGTGCCCTTATAAATGAAGCCTAAAAGAGACCCTTTGCCTCTTCCACCATGTGAAGATGCAGCAAAAAGGCACCATCTATAAGGAAGTGGGCGCTCACCAGAGACCAAATTTGCAGGCACCTTGATCTTGGACTTTCCAGACTCTATAATTGTGAGAAATATATTTGTCTTTTATAAGCCAAAAAGAAAAAGAAAAGAAAATTGTTTGAAATAAAATAATATTCGAGTCCTCTTTTGGAATACAACTTTAAGTATTTAGATGGTTTTCAAACATAGTAGGCATTCATCTACTGAAAAAACCTTTGCTGTACGACAGGAAAGCTTCTTTAAATGTTACTGTCTTTTACAATCAGAAAATGCATGTTGCAATAACACAAGCTACATTTTCTGATAGATTGCCTTCATTATAAGGCAGCATTTTCAAACAATTTGCCACAAAGCCATTTTACACGGTATATATGCCATGAGAAGAAAAAAGTGTTATGTGAAAAACAGCTCTACTTACACAGATAATACAAAATGAGAAATTAGATACTTCTGATAATGGAACCAAAAATTATATATTTATGGTAATAATGCTTTATGATATTAGATACAATAACTTGACCCTGATGTGTATCCTATAATGACATGAAAGCAATTTATTATAAGGTAAGAAGAATACATTTGCTTAGATTCATGCATAAGGTACTGATGATATACAATAATGGTAATATTATACAAGTATTAAATTACACGAAAATCTACAAAAGGATATCTGTAGTATCAGAAGTCTAAAAGGTACATTAGCAAAAAGAAAACATACATATTCCATGTACTTCTTAGCCTCAAAACATGTTGTCAGAGAATCCCCAGGATTGGATAAACACCAGAGAAACTTACTCTGAGGTAGAGATGAAAATATCAAGAGAAATTTGTACTTTTACTTGTGTAGTAATGATGCCAATAAAAGAAAAAAAACCTACCTGCCATTCAAACTCGCTATCTGACCAATCCCAGTAAGTGCTAATAGAAGAAGAGACATCACTGCAGACACTCCCCTCAGGGAACAAATCAAAAGAAGTGAAGTCTTGATCATCTAACAGAGAATAGCAATCATCTTGATCTCCAACAGAAACGGATGAAAACAGTTCCTCACTGCATTCTGAGCTGGCAACACTTGTTCCACAAGAAGTTAGGTTCCACCTTCAAAAACACAACACAAAAGAAATCACAACAAGAACTACAGAATCTACACACTGTTAAGGTATTAATAGGATACATTTATGACATGTATAAGAAAAGTATTTTTTATATTTTTGAAAGAAACTTTACCTTTTAAGGAAATATACTAACATATTTATGAATATGTCTAGGATTTGCCTCAAAATAATAAGGAATAGGTTGGGGTATAGATGAAGCATGATGCCATATGTGAATAATTGCTGAAGCTGCATAATAAAAACATGAGGTTCATTACACTTTTCTCTCCACTTTGGTAGTTGTCTGAAAATTTTTATAATAAAATATTTTAAAAGAAAGACATATTTAAATTAGGGATAAAGTAAAACTTTTATCTGTAAATAAGACATATAGCATAGTGGTTATGAGTAAGCTCTGGAGTCAGACTGAATTCAAATTCTTGCTCCATCCCTTGCTAGCTATTTGATCTTAAGCAAATTATAACCTCTTCAAGCCTGTGTCCCCATCTTTAAAATGGAGTTACTGTGATGATTACATGAGAACACATACACAGCACTTAGCATACATAATAAATGTTCAATACATGATAGCTATTATTATTAAATTAAAGGAAGAGGGGAGCTATTACAGGGTAGAGAAAAGCAGCAGCAAAACACACAGGTAGAAGTTCAAGGGTTTGTTATACTTAAATAACTTTTCCATATTAATGTGATACAGGCTCATTGCAAATATGTTAGAATAAGAAATGAAAGAAGAATAAAATGACCAATAATTCCATTATTGAACAATAACTAATTCATAATATTTCAGTACTTTATTTCTAGGTGCATATATATTTTTTACAGAATTAGCAATCATTCTATGTGTATATATTTTAGTATCTGGCTTTTCCACTTAATATTATTAATATATAACATTTTCCTAAATATATTACTTAGAAAAATATAATGCTCATATAATATTCCATTGATTGAATGTATCATAATTTATTTAACCTTATTCTTCCAATAATAGACACAGGCTGCTTCCAATTTTCTTTTATATTACAAATAATACTGAGATGAGCCTTTTTGTTTATAATTATTTATCAAAATATAAATTCTCTCAGGATAGACTGCTTGAAAGGTAAGTACTGAGTCAAAGAATATGAATACTTCTAAGGGTCATGGTACATTTAGTCAAATATCTTTCTGAAAGGCTGTGCCAATTTACACTCCCCAAGGTAGTATATAAAAGTGCTCATCTCACCACAACCTTAACAGCATTGAAATTTTTATTTAAAAATGTTTTACCCATCTTACTGGACAGAAACATTTTTATTTCTTTGATTACTAGCAAGATCAAAATTTTACATATTTATTAGCTAGTATGCTATGTTTTTCTATGTGTTGTTTTCATTATTGATTTTGGAAGTGTTCTTTATGCATTAAGTATATTAAAATTTTGTCTACAGTATTTGTTGCAAAGCCCTTTGGTTTCTTTTTCTCTGGTCTCAAAATCTATCAATCTGTTTTCTTTTGTAAATTTCCACTAGTGTTATACTATTAATAAGATAATCTTCATTGCTTTGGCAGTAGCATAAGGGAATTAATCTTTAAGATAATGACTTAGTATTTCCAATACTAATAAGCTCTTGAAATAATGACTTCCTGAAGAAAAGCCTATTATTTACCTATTATTAGGTTCTCATCCTTCATTTAATCCAGGTTTTCTTAATTATATATTTCATTTTTTAAAGCTTCCTCCCCTATTTTGTATGGCTAATCTTGAATTTAGATCCTGATTTACAAAATTTGAGCAACTTGAAAAATTTCATGGCATCTTTTTCTTTTGAGTTGAAGGTAGTGCATTTTAAAGCACTGGAACACACATACGAACTATTATAGTTCAGTAAATAAAAAGCAGATGTCAATACATTTTTAGAAATAGATAAAAATCTAAAATTCATCTAAAAATCCTAGAATACCTTGCAATGTTATTTAGTTTCATCACATGCTTGCTAGGTGGGCAGTATCCTCATTTTATAAAAAATTAACAAACCTAGTAGAATTAATCAAATTGCCCAGATCGTTCAATAAAAGTTATCAATAGCCACCACAAGTTCTGTCCTAGACACAGTAAACTCTATCTACATTGGGTCCTGAGCTAATATTTTTTCTCTTGTGTCTTCAAATTGCATGTGACTTTTTTCCCTTGATTCATTCACCCACTCAACAAACATTTAGTCAGTATCTTCCACGTGCCAAATACTAATTTCAGTGCTAGGAAAAACTATTAGATGATTATTTTTAACTAGAATTTCTTTCCAGCTTGCAAAAATTTTGTTGAAATATATTTCCCTCCATGAGTAACAATGGCATTCCTTTTTTAAAAGCCATGCCATATTTAATAATCTAACCACTAGATTACTGACAGTCAGAAATTTGCTTGGTTTTATGCTCTTACCTTAGGGCAAAATCAGTGTTTCTCAGTTTTCTGGATTCATGATTTTGTCTTTTATTTTTAATTATCAGTGGCAAGTAAACCTTGCTCATAGTTGAAACAAATCACTTACAAAATAGAAAAATGGTATTTTACCCTTAAAGATTTTTAAAAATTTTTTATCTTCTAATTTTCAAATATTATTATTTTAAGCCAATATGGATTAAAACAAAGTAGGAAGTACTTTTAATCACTGCTACTACAAGTGTAAGCTGACATAATCTTTCAGAAAAGCAATTTGGTATTATATGTATATCAAAAGCTTTTAAAAGGGTTATTCCTTTGAAATCATTAATTCTCCTTCTAGGATTCTATTCCCTTCTCCAAATAGAAATTTGGAAAAAAGATGTATGCACAAACATGTCCAAACAATATCATTTGCAATAGCCAAAAGGGGAAATAAATGCTACCAAAACACTGGGAATAATTAAGTGATATATCTGAATGGTACTCTTATAATCATTAAAAATCATATTTTCAGACTATTTATTGAAAACGAAAACACTCAACAATATAAGTGCAGATAAGCAGGTCACAAATTGTATATACAGCCTGATCCTGACTTTTAAAAATTATATATGTACATAGAAACAGCATTAAGTGAGACAATATCAAAATGATGACACTTGTTTGTTACCTTTGGGGAAAGGAATTATGAGTGGTCTTTATAGTTTTTATATGCCCACAATTTTCTATAATCAGCTTTTATAATAAAAATTTAAGTGTGATTCTGTCCGTTTTAAACTTGTAATCAATGCCTATTGTGTGCTCGGTGCTAAAATATTCAAATTTCTATGCCCTTACATTTCATTCCACTAAGAAAAGGCTACCTAATATTAAGAATTTAGCTATAACCGTAAGATTACTCTCAAAGACTTTCTTTAAATTCTTAAGAAAAAAATGTTGAAAAGAATTCCAATGAAATGGTACAAATGGATTTCAATAAGTAGGCTTGCTGCTCAAATTTTAATTTAAAAAACATAAAGCCAAGAACATTTCTCTGCATGGAATTTCAGCAAGAATACACAGACTAAGTGCTTTCAATGGTGTTTTGGTAAATAACCATTTAAATGCTAAAATTAAGAAATCCATTTGCACCATGTACACTGCAAATCCATTTGCACCATGTACACCACATCCTCTGTGGCCTCTTCCTCTCTTAGGTGGACCTAACCATCATCTCTGAGGGTGAGAATCCAGCCAGTGACCACTGCTGAATAAAGTTATAACTGTCAAGTTGATAAAAGTCATTTGAAATCTATGCTATGCATTCACCCTTAGGGTACAATGCCTCATCATCACTTGTATTCATCACCGACTCCCTGCTAGAATCCCCATACAGTCACCCTGACCTCTGCTACTCCTCTGGAGCCCAACAGGCCATCAAGGTTCCAAGTTGGAGCAGATGATACAGTACAATCCCCTACTCTACCCACTTAAGTTCCCTCCTAGCTACCTCAATTGACCTGGGATCATTACCCAACTTTCCTACCCCCTCTATTGTCTCAGAAGTAAAAAAAACATTCCATGTCATTTCTAAGACTAATTTACCCATTTGGACTTGTGAGTTCATCACTTCCATCTCTGCTCATCCCACCTTCTCTTTTTCAACTTCTCCCTTTCTTGTGGCCTGCTTCTAAGGAGCTAAAATCTCTATTCTTGGAAAAAACAAACTAAACAAAGCAAAAAACAAATGAAGAAACCTTCACTTCCCTTTCAAATTACCACTACATCCCCTCTTCTCCTTCCTTTCCCTGTTAAATTTATTGAAAAGCTTCCACTCTCTTAACCTTTTGTAACCTGTGGTTTCATTCCTATCGCGACACAGGGATTTCTACTGATTACTCCCGAATCTGTATTTCTAGCCTGGGGATTTCTCCAGAGCCTGACTCCCATTCTCAACTTGTCTCAAAAGGCCCCAAACCAAATTCCTCCAACATGGTTCTCCCATTTGCAACCCACGGCTCTTTTGCATCTCTAATTCTGTATCTAGATAGGAAAACTATGGATGGTACAAAAAGCACACCAATAGTTTTAGGGTTTTTCTGGTAATAGTGATTGAAAATGGGGCTCTAAAATCACATAACTGAATAAATGATTTATACAATAGTTCATTTTATATCCTGCCAACAGGGTGTACAAAATGGCACTGTCCTCCTACATACTTTTCACAATTGTTCAATGTCAAGGTACTGATGCACTCCTGAAAGATGACAAGAATAAAACATCTGGTAGTTCACATTAACTTCCTTCATCTCACAATTTAATTATAGAATCTACCAACATCATTATAATTTTTCCCATTTGCTAAATGACAACCTTTTTTGGTGGTGGTGGTAGTAGTTGCAGTAGACATGGTTAGTGTACAAAATGAGCCCTGACAGAAGTGCTAAGAGAAAACCACCATTGACATCAGAAGATATCTTAAACACTGTATATATTCAATACATTTCAGATTTTTTAAGTTCACTAATTTTTTTGGTTTATTGGAATTTATCCTATTTTCCCAAAATTCTAGACAAACCCATCTAGGTCTTAAAATCCTAAAAGAAACTCCTATGAAAATGTGAATTCTTAGGAAACTGACTGTGCCCGTGTAATTTATTTTCTACTGAACCTGAAACCAACCTACATCACAGGCAACTCTCATCTGAACATTGCATTCATTCAACCTCAGAGACCGTTAGTGCCATGACACTCTTGGTTAATAAAGATTGCAAATATAACCCAGAGACCAGTAAATGAGTAGGCACAAAACTGTCATCATCATAAAGCCTTTATGAAGGCCATTAAACAATCTCTGCAGTTTTCTTATCAGGTAATAAGAATGAAGCAAAATAAAGGTAAGCCAAATTTCTACCCACTACCAGGCTTTCTACGTCCAGTGAAGTTTGTTTTACAATAACTAAACCCAAAGCAGAATTTCAGTACCCAAATATTCAGATTTGATTTTTGGACTGTTGCCTGAATTGGCAAATGATGTGACGTGAAGAAAAAAAGTGAAATGTACAATGCCAAAATAAAAGAACTCCCTAAACTAAACTTTGCCCAAATATATGATTTAGCTGTTTGCTTCCCCCTGAAAAGAAGTGGCTGGAAGCATATGTTCCTCTCAAATGCCATCTTGAGGAAGGGTAAGAAGGCAGAACGTTCCAGAAGGATAAAAGACTTAAAAAGGAAGGTAGCCTAGGGCAGAAACATCATCTGCTATAAATATTGCTAATTCTGCTTCTCCTACTCTCTGCTGAAAAAGATATAAATCATTAGACCCCCTGCCACCATTCCAAGTCTTATAAAAAGTAGGATAAGAGAGGGAGGCTAAAAAAAGCAGGCAGTGTCTAGGAAAAATGCTTGACTTGGAAAATCTGGGGCCTTCACAAGGACCTCTCCCTCCTCCTCACTGCTTCTTTAAGAAAAAGAGCCTTGACCTTACCAGTGTTTAAGAGAAGGGGAAGAAAACACAAGAAAAAAAAACTCCCCATCACCTATACCAGTTTTGTTAGTGCTTACCCTCACCTCTGCCCCTACTCCCTTGCCTTCATCATCACAGCAGGCTCATTCTGAAATCATTTAATTTTCTTGTGTATGTGACTTTCTCCAATGCTGCAAAACTTAAACAGCAAATATATGCAAAGGTATTCTTTTACATTATTTTCCAACCCAAATAACCATAAGCACACTTGAATTCATGAATGTTACATTTACATGACAGTTATTTTAAAGGTTATATAGGCTACTCTGAGTTAATCTAAGAAACCATAACCACCATTTATAACATTCAATCCATTAGTTTTCTTCCAAGTTTCATCACTGGCTTCCCCAAAATAATCTTGGCTCTGCCCAACTAGGTTTTATGACCTTGAACTCAGTCTTTTCTCTCTGGGCCTGTTTCTTCATTTTTGTGATGGCAATTTGGAACAATCCTAACAAATTTACTGCCACTTCCTTTTGAAATGTGTTACAGTGATGATTTAACTACCACACCTTGTTTCCACAGACTACAACTTTTAGGTAAGAATCATGTTTTATACATTCCTTGTACCTGGTAGAAGCTCAGTAAATCTGTGGATTGTTTTAAAGGAAGAAGGGGACAAACATACAAAAGACACTAAAATATGGAAGAATTTGATCAAACTCATATAGTAAACTTGGATCAGAAATCAGAATTAGACTACTTAATTAATTGCCAGTATTTTTCACAGCTGAATCCCTCTCCCAGTCCGTTGTCCACTCTCCCAGCCCTTCGTATACATACACCTCAAATATCCACCTATATTAAAAGTTAAGGCTATATCTAAAACGTCTTCAAATTCCCCACAACATTAGATCTACCACTTAAATACTTGCATGAGAGAATTCTCTAGAACACTATCTTCTACTAAAACCAGTTAGGAGAAGATGCACCCTCTGAATAAATTTGTATAAACAAGCCCATCCTAAGCCTTGCTCTGAGCCCCCCCCCCCCCCACTGGGGAAGGAAACCAAAGGATGTGTTATATGAAGGAATCTTCTAGATTTAAGCTTATACATTTTGGCAGGGCCTAAAGTGCTAACGCAAAGAGTTCATAAAGGAGAAAAAAAAAATCACTAGTTTTCTAGTGTTCCACTAAAAAATGGGGTAGGGGTGGGAGTGGAAGGAATAGGATTATGAGGCAGGTTAAAAATGGGAAAAAGGAAGGTTCTAGCTTTAAAAGTGCCACCTTTCAAAAGATCTACGGATTGATTTGGTACCATCCGAAATCCACTCTCTGGCGTACCGGAAATAGAAGGGGTTAAACTTTTGCAGATGGATGGAAACAGGGGAGTATCTAAAAATCTAGGGTGGGGGTTTGGGATTCGCAGGGTACAGATAAGGGGCGGGAAGGGGAGGGAGAAAGTAGGGAAAGGAGGAGTTGCTATAGCCAGAAGATGAATGGGGAAAAGAAAGTCAAACGCCGGTCGAAAGAAAAATCGGAGGGCAGGAGTGAAAATAGGGAGAAGGAGTAGGGAAGGAGCCCGGGAATGAGCGCAGATCAGAAGACGGTGGGGGAGGGGGTGGCTGGAAGCGCAGCCCGGGGCAAGGAAGCAGGAGCAAGGGAGCGACTCAGCATTCTCCCGCGAGAGGCACCGGGCTGGAAATTCCACCCCTGCCCTCAGCAGCAGTCTGTACCTGTTGGTGTGGAAGCGGTGGAGTGGGTCAGTGCGATGGCAGGAGGACAGCTGGCAGCCAAAGTCGCTGATGTCCAGGCAGCCCGGCTCCTCGCTCGGGCAGGTGCCCACTCCGCGAGGGGGTCCCAGGAGCGGGAAGGGTTCCTCGGGGGTTAGAAACTTCTCGTAGGAAGTGGTGGCCGACGTCTCGTCGGACATGGTTGGAGATGGCCTGGCTTGAGCTCCGTCTCTGGCCCCGGGCTGCTCCCGCGCCCGCCCCTGCCCCCACTCTAACCTGTCCACAGTGGCCGCCGCTCCAGGGTGTGCCCGCCTCAGCTCACTGGCAGGCTGAGCGCTGCCGCCCGCCGCTGCCCAGGGAGTGAGGGGCCGCGCGAGGAGGCTGCTGGAGGCCACGACGACCCGCCGGCCACCCAGTCAGCGCCTCAGTGGCCTCTGCAGCAGCCTCCGTCGTCGTCGCCGCCACCGTCGCCGCCGCAGCTGCCCGGCCCAGCCCGTCAGCGTTGAGCTGCCGCCGGGCCCGGCCCGCCCCGCCCCTCCCCTCCCACTGCGCTCGCCGCTCGCGACTGCAGCAGTTCGCCCAGCGCCGGTCGGGAGGGGAAGGGCGGCAGAAGCCGCTCCCCGCGCCCCCTGCTGGAGCGGAGGAGGAACTGAACCTCCGCCCGCCGCAGCCCCGCGCGGCCCGCCCCGCCCAGCCCCGCCCTCTACGCAGCGAATCAGGGATTCAGGGCGCTGACCTGCCCGGTGCCGGGGGCTGACCTCCTCCTCCGCTTTCTCACTCGCTCTAGATTACTAAGCAGCAGCCGCAGTCCCTGGGAAAGGGACTTGGCCAAGGTCACACTGGGAGTACGTGAGAAAAAATCCAGATGCCCTGGTTCCCAGCACACTGGATCACCATGTCCCAGTTCAGCAAGTATTTATTGAGCACCTGCAGCGCGTGTGTCCAACACCGTGCCATGAGCTGTAGGGAAAATGATCCAAACAGAAAAAATTGTCCCTGCCTCACTGTTAATCACCTAACTCCCAAAACTCTATGTTACCGCCACCAGGCTACTCAGAGCTGCTGGACACGTAGTGCGCTTTTGTGCTCTATGCTCTTACTTGCATTATGCACTCTGCTTGGAAAGCCCTGCCATTTCTCCCCTTCTCCCCTGCTAATTCTTAAAGCCCCAGCTCCAACGTCACCTCCTCTGTGAAGCCTTCCGTGATTCCAACTAGACTTAGGCACTCCCGCTAATAACGCTCTCCTCCCTGCATGAAAATGTTAGGGAGCTTAAATTGTTAAATTTAAATCAACTTTGCTAGGTGGCACATACTGTTCTTTCCCAGTATCACATATCTTTTCTCTGTGTTCTGGACAAATGGTTCCATATTTAGGATATGTAAAACTTTTTAAAAATGTTCAGTGGAAAACCCAAGGTTGCCAATTTCTTATTTTGCTAAATGAAGACAATTTTAAAAGCTACCTAATACTGTTTTATAAAAGGAAGCACATTTTCAGATAAAATAAGGGCAGAATTTCTCAAAATTTTTTGCATTAAATATAGTTAGCTTTGTGGAAAAACTCAATACATTAATCCTTGAGGGAAACAGAACGGAAATAGGTGAAAAGGAGGGGAAAAGTGTAAGAAGGCAGGAGGAAAGGAGAAAGAAGGCAAAAGAAGTGGGGAGTTCTAACACAAACAAGTCCCACTATGTGTTAAAGTCTGTGCCTTGCCCTGCCAATGCAACTTATGGTGAAAACAGCTCTTGTACCTTTTAAAAAATTTATTTGTCTTGCTTTAGCAACTTCATTACTTGACTGTTGAGCATGCCTGTTTTCTTTCATTGAGATTGCAAGAAGGTATGTTGCATTGTCTATGTGGCTTTCAAAATCAATCATTCACTAATATCTAATGGGGCTGACCAATTTAAAAGTTGTTGAATTGTGGGTGGTGATGGTTTGGTCTATGGTCCCCAATGTGCCAATCCCTAGAGGTCTGAGACTAGTGATGCTGAATGGGCCATGGCTTAGTCCCCACAAACAAGAGACTTGATTGTCCAAATGAAAAAAGAGTCAAGTGGTGCATGATAATCTAGATACTCTGGTAATAGCACCAGAAACTTTAAATATATATACTTTTTGCATACTATAAAGGTAGGTATTTTTCAAACTAGAGTCTAATGACAGAGTCTGCAAGTTTTCAACAAGTGTGTTTTACTTTTGCAGTTATTTTTAAGCATATGCTGTAGGGTCTGGATGGGTACATGATAACTAAGTGCTGCCACATAATTAGGAAATGTATTTGAGTCTGTTTTCACAATCAAGTTGGCACAAGTTAATAGTACTTTGTCATGAGCTAGTGAGAAAATAAATGAGGTGAACCTCATACTTCATGGCTTGCTATACAAATGAAGGTTTGCAATAGTTTGAAAAGAAGAAAGTGATGGGAAAGTGGAGTTCTCACAAGACACACAAGCATGCTGAAGGCCAAGAGCATATGCTGGCCAGTCAGTAATGTTTACCTTTCCTTGGGCAGTTTGTTTCAGCAAATATCACCTACCACATTAAGTTGACTTAAAAAAATTGTAAACAATTTGTAAGTTTACTTTGGTGTTAAATTTTATAAGAGCTTTATGCACATGCAGAGTTTATATTTAGTTTTGTTTACATTTAAGAAATATGATTATAAAATAATTAACATAAATGCTTGGGTCTGAGAGGATGTTTCTTTAAAAAAGGTCCCTCCATATATTTCTCAATTGAGAAACAATGATATAGACACTGATAGCAGTACATAGAGTATGTGCACTGTGTTTTACTTAAATACATGGTAATAATGTCCTAATACATCTTTACCTCCTCTTAGCCATTAGGAGTTAATGACTGTTGTGCATCCTGCCTTCTTGCCCCACTTCAATTTGGTTGGTTTGTTCCTTGGGTGTACCTTGCTTGAATGGATTTACCCAATGCAACCCTCCCTTCCACTCTCCACCAAGATCTTTCCTAATTTCTGTTTCTCTGAAAATGCGGTTATAATAGCTTCCCATCTTTTCGGAAGGTCTGGGCATTGGAGGAAACCCTGGGTAATCTGCCTTGAAGTCTTCAGATGCATAATTTACCTTCCAGAGAGCTGATGGGCTGCAGGAGGGCTGTGGAGAGACAATGGTATTGATAATTATCACCCAACCTTTATCATTTTATTATTTGATAGAAATATATTGGACTTTACCCAATGATTGGTGATCTAGCCCTTGTAATTTTTTCATGTGATTGAAGAGTTCAAAGTGTATATACATATTTAGCTCCTGAAATATCACAACAACCTTCTGATAAAACAAAGCTTGAGTTTATTACTTATCCTGGTAAGGAAGAACACCACTTCCACAGAGCTTTGGTAGTATTTCAGGGGCAGAGGGGAAAGGTTAAGACAGAATTTATTAAGAATTGGAAGTGTGATTTAAGGTGAGTATTTCAATGAGAGATCTTTTTGTTCTTCTTGTTTTAGAGATAGGATCTGGCTCTGCTACCCAGACTTCCCAGGCTGGAGTACAGTGGACTGATCATAGCTCACTGTAACTTTGAACTCCTGGGCTCAAGCTATCCTTCTGCCTCAGCTGATCCTCCTATCTCAGCCTCCAGAGTTGCTAGGACCACAAGTACACACCACCATGCCTAGATAATTTTTTAAATAACTTTTGTAGAGATAGATCTCACTATGCTGCCCAGGCTGGTCTTGAACTCCTGGCCTCAAGCAACCCTCCCACCTTAGCATACCAACTTGTTGGGATTACAGGCATGAGCCACTATGCCCAGCCCATATAAAGTTTAGAATCAGTTTGTTGGTATTTACAAAATAACCTGCTGTAATATTGATTGGGATTTCATTGAATCTATAGATGAAGTTCACAACTGACATCTTGACAATACTGAACTTTCCCATCCATGATCATGGACTATATCTCCATGTATTTCATTCTTTGATTTCTTTCATCAGAGTTTTATAGTTTTCCTAATATAGATCCTGTACATATTTTGTTAGATTTATACCTATTTCATTTTTGGGGGTGCTAATGTATTATAACGTATTATGTTTTTAATTTCAAATTCTACTTGTTCATTGCTGGTATATAGGAAAGCAAATGACTTTTGTATATTAACCTTGTATCCTAGGAAAGTTCTTGTAATGAGCAATCAAACCATTTGTCTGTGTAGGACAGTCCTGCAAAATAAAGAAAGGCTAATGAAGACAGCTGAATAGCAATGTTATATTAATGTAGATAACAAAGTGTGGTTTCAGTTCTCCAAGTCCTGGCTGAGTATGAGGCTAGACAGTTTTGGTTCTCAGTCCTTCCTGTGGTCATTCCTTAGCCTAAGCTGAAGGAGAGACCATTAATATCTGAGGGTGTGATCATTCCAGATCTTCACTGTTGTTTGAGGTGTCACAATCATATGTCAGGTTTCTGTCTATGGTTGTTTCAACCTTCAGGTTTCCAGTGGTGGTTGTTTAAATCTAAATCTCTGTGTCAGGTTTTGTTGCTCTTTCTGCTGTATGACCATTTGATGGATCATTTGATGGGACAGTGGCTGCAATGGAGATCACACATCTAAAACTGCAAAATAGATAAAACTAAAGAAAGGATTATAATCAGTTTGTAGTCCACTACTCAGCCAGGAGCCAAGAGTGCCCATATTAAACCAAGGGAATAGATCCTATTCTTTTTTTTTTTTAATTATTTTTTTTATTTTGGCATATTATGGGGGTACAGATTTTAAGGTTTCAATAAATGCCCATTTCCCCCCCTCCCCCCAAAAGTCTGAGTCTCCATCATGACCATCCCCCAGATGGTGCACATCTCACTCACTATGTATGTATATACCCGCCCCCTCCCCCCTCCCACCTGCCCAATACCCTATTACTGTAGCACCTATGTGTCCACTTAGGTGCTACTCAGTTAATACCAGTTTGCTGGAGAATATATCTGGTGCTTGTTTTTCCAATCTTGGGTAGATCCTATTCTTGATCTGAAGAGTCTACGGAATCAGCTATGATGCCATTCTCCAAATTACCCAATTTCTGATTTCTTGGTTTACTTCCAAGATTTTAAAAATAGCATTAAAAATCTCAGTGAGGTATGTAGGCACAAAAGTACTAGATTCTTTTGTAAAACCAACCCTTACTCTCTCCCAAGAAGCCAGTCTTATATATCCTATGGCACCTCTATTCTGAACTACTGCCTATTCAATTTCATAAACTTCTGGGGCAAGAATTTCTATAATCTTAGTGACCATATTAGTTTTCTGAGGTTACTCAGAAAACTAATTACCACAAATAGAGTGGCTTAAAACAACGGAAATTTATTCTGGCACAGTTCTGGAATCTGGAAAGGCCAAATTCACTCCAGAGTCTCTAGGAAAGAAATGGTTCCTTGCCTCTTTCAGATTTTAGTGGCTACCCTGACATTCCTGGGCTTGTGACCTCATCACTTTACTCTCTGCCTCAATCTTCACATCACCTTCTTTCCTGTGTGTCTATC